TCATTTGTTTCCTTTCCTTTTTTTTTGAGGAACTGGGGATTGAACTCAGGCCCTTGTGCTTGCCAGGCAAGTGCTTATTCTACTGAGCTATCATCTCCCCAGCCCCCTACTTCTCTGTTCTGTGTCTTTGTGTATTATCTAGGAACCTTTCTCTGCCCTAGGATCACACAGATCCTCTCCTCTGTACCACCTGGCATTTCCACAGGACAGTGTGGCCTCCTGGCCCTTCAGTACTGGGGATTGAATCCAGAGCCTCTGCACCAACTGAGCTTTATTCCTAGTCCTTGTTTTATTTTATTTTGTGTTATTTATTTATTTTCTATTTTTATTTATTTTTTGTGTTACTTATTTTGAGATAACATCTCATTAGGTCTCTAAGTTATGTGGGGTTGACTTGAACTTTAGATCTTCCTGCCTCAGCCTCCCAGGATGCTGGGATCACAGGCCTGCACCACTATGCCCAGCTAAATTTTCCTTTTGGATAGTGGTTATTAAAAGAGAACATACTGTATGATTAATTTTTTTCCCTCTGGTGTTTGAGATCAAACCAACAGCCTGTGCTCACAAGTGTGTGCCACAGCATTCAGCACACCCTGGCCCTGTAGGATATATTTTTGACAGTGTCCCATCAGAGGTGGAATCTGTGCAGAGGGAAGTCAGGATCATGGCCCCCCGAAGGGGCCTGGCTGGGAGGGATTCTCGGAGCAGGGAGGCTCTGCTCTCGGGCTGGGGTCTGGGGTCTGGGGTCCTGGGTCCTGAATACCAGTGGCGTGTGTTTCTGGGAGAGACCCTGCTGCCTTTCACTTTACTCCCACTACCTCTGCTTCCTTCCCAGGACTGCGTGCAGCTGAATCAGTATACACTGAAGGATGAGATTGGAAAGGTAAGGGCTGCAGGGCTGGCCTGGAGGAGGGCTGGGGGGCATTTTGGTGGAGGGTTTTGTGTTTTCTTTAAAATCTTTTTCTTTTTCTTTTTTTTTTTTTTTTGCAGAGGGTACTGGGAACCTAACTCAGGACCTTGTGCTTGCCATGCAGACACTTGTGCAACTGAGCTGTATTCCTGCCCCCCCTCCTTTTAAATTTTTTAGACAGGGTCTTGATGTGTAGCCCAGGCTGGCCTCAAACTTACAGCAGTCCTCCTGCCTCAGCCCCCCAAGTGCTGGGGTTATAGGTGTGTACCACCATGCCCAGTTCAGGTTTTGTTATTAATGGGCTAGTATTTTATTTTTTGCATTTTAAAAATTTTATTGGTACCTTTTAGACATACATGATGATCACATATATACAATGACCATATTCGTCTTAGGGAATTTGTACCTGTTTTATTTTTTTAAATGTATTTGGTTGTTACAGGGTCTCACTATGCAATTCAGACTCATGGTGATCCTCCTGCTTTCAGCCCTCCTAGTTCTGGGATTATAGGCGTGTGCCCTCATACCCCCACAGTCCCTGCGCTTGCCTAAGCTTGCCTAAGTAGGCGCTTTAGTCTGCTGAGCTATCTTGACAGGCCATGGGAATTTGTACCTGTACGTGATATAGCATGCTGTTTTTTTCCCACTCTGCTCCTGCCCTTCAACCCTTCTTCTTTTTTATAGAAGCTTTGTTTCCATTTTTTCTTCATTTTTCTTGCGGGTGTGTGTGTGTGTGTGTGTGTGTGTGTGTGTGTTGTACTTTAATTTTGTTTTATGTGTTTAGTACAGGGTCTGCAGGTTCTCACCACACACGGATTGTGTTCATATTGATCCTCCTGTTTCAGCCTCCCAAGCACTGGGATTACAGGTGTGCACCACCATGTCCAGTTTAGTCTCCATCTTGTGAGGTGGGGGTGGAGCTGGCACTGCATGCCGGGAATCAGACCCCAGTCCCTGCGTCTGCCTAAGCAGGCACTTTAGTCTGCTGAGCTACCTGGCCGGCCCTGTATTTTAAAATTATTATTAGTATTTATTTTTTTTTGCGGTACTGGGGATTGAATTGAGGCCCTTGCGCTTGCCAGAGAAGCACTTACTCCATTGAGCCATTTCTCCAGCCCCTGAAATTAAATATTTCTGGGTGTAGTGGCGCATGCATGTAACTCCAGCACTCAGGAGGCTGAGGCAGGAGGATCATTGGAGTTGGAGACCAGCCTGGGCTCTAAAGTGAGCTCAAGGCCAGTCTGAACTGCACAGTAAGATTCTATCTCAAAAAGACAACTAAATTAATTAAATGTTTTGCAGAGCACACACACACGCACGCACACACGATAGTTAAGGTAGTTATACGATTAGTTTTTCTTAGTTCATTGACGAGAAAGATCTGTACTAATATTGTTTGGACAATTAAGTATCAATATCTTGAACTCGAGGCAGCAATATGCGATATATTAACCATTGGTACCCTCTTATTACCTTGTTTTGGAATTTTGTGGGGTTGTTTCTCTCTAAAAAAAATGTTTCTGCCAAAGCTAGGAAATCTTCCAGAGAATTCCCACGTTGCTGGCAGGGGTGCTCCTCGGAGTGGCGCCCTGGCTGCGCCGCCCCACGTCTGCACATGACGTGTCCTGCTGCTTTCTTTCCCGTTCCACTCCTGCCCTTCAGCCTTCTTTGGTTTCAGACAGTGACCAGTACTACAGAGGACAAAACCTCAAATGCTAGTAGAGAGGGAAGCTAGCTGTGGTGGCGCCAGCCTGTAACCCCAGCCCTTGGGAGGCTGAGGCAGAAGGGTTACTTCGAGTGAGGCTAGCTTGAGTGACATAACAAGACCCTTTGTCAAACAAATAAAAAAATAAAGTAAAATGGAAAGTGAGCAGTGTAAGTGGGTGAGGCACTGGGTGGAAGGCAAGTTAGGAAGCGGAGACAGGCAAGGAGCCAGGGCTCTAATGTGTAAATACTGGGAAATTCAGTCTCCCAATAGCTAGATCTTCTGATTTTTATTTTTTCCCCAAAAGAAGTCAGAAAGAGGGAGTTTTACATCAGAACCTTCTCTTAAAATGTCCACAACTAATTTGCACTTTGTAAAAACCGCTGCAGCAGATAGTTAGGAGCAGCCTGAGCCAGGGGCCCCGCTTCCCGGAGCGGAACCCTGGCTCCGTGTGTCATGGGTGTCTCCCTCCATCCAGGGCTCCTACGGTGTGGTGAAGCTGGCTTACAATGAGAACGATAACACCTACTACGTGAGTGTGCGGCCCCACACCTCCATCCTTGTCCTAGAGCTCCCTTCCCATACTCGCTCCCTTTCGTGCCTGAGGTCACCCGGGAGGAAGCAGGGAGCCTGCTTCCAGGTGGGGAGGTGGGGTGGGAGTCACTCACCAGCGGGCAGCCTAGTGGAGGCGCTAGCAGCAGCAGGACAGGTCGGGAGCAGCTGGGCTGCAGTCCCTGTGCAGGAAAGCTTGGCCCCCCGTGTTTCCGAAGCATGGCCTTGGGCAGTGACGTGTCCTGGGTATGCTGCAGCTGGGCATCAGTTTCCCACATGAGATGCAGCCGGTCACCCCTGCCTTCACCCCTAACTCCAGCCCTCATCAAAGGCGCTTAATGTCCCCACTGGGGTTGCTGACTGGGAGCCCAGAGAGCCTCCTGGGGGGAACTCCTGTGAGCTCCACATAGCCAGGAGCTACACTCCATCAGTGATGAGGGG